TTATATATAATATATATATATATATATAAAATTTATAGTTTCACATAAGGTTAAGTAAATATAGAATTATAAAATAGTTGTTAAGTATTGTATACAAGTTTTTATGTTATGTAAATTAAAATAAAAGAATTATTTATGTACAGTATTATAATTAATAATAAAGTTATAATTCATATTTACTCTTCTTCCTCCACATATTATTCAATAATAAAATATATTCAAAAATTAAAATTTTTGCTGTTTGAAGCTTGATATAAAATTAAAATTTTAAAAGTTCTTAAAAATTCTAATTAAAGAAATTTTTAATATTCTTATTTTATAAATCCTTACCATTTTTGGAGAGAGTTTTAGTTAATGTTTATTATATTTTTCTAATGTTACATAATGTTTTGAGAATTTATATTTTCGCAGTTTACAAAATCGATTAACAATAAGGTTATCAGCTTCTTTACCGACGGTCAAAAAAATATTAAATAAAAATAAATTTAAGTAAATAATCTCAAAAATAATTATTGGCAAAACATAATATCTATTATGATATAATTAATAATTACTAAGTATCGTTAACGCATACTTTATAATATTTTTAAAATTACAAAAAAATATATTATTTATAAATAATAATACATATAAGCCAACAATCATAATGTATGAATATTTAAACACAACACGTACTGTCGGCTGTATATAACATCTCTAAAATCTAAAATTACAGTGCAACTTCACACTTCGCTGAAATATCCAGGTTCAACACTAACAAAGTATCAATGCCATAGAAAGGTGGCGTTTTTGCTATTTCTGTAATTCCGAATCAGCTGATAACATATGACACGAATGTCCAAAGGACAATCGCTATTCGCGAATGTACATATATGACTCCAAGTGAGAATTCTGACCATTCCAATCTCTTCTGTGTCATGAGCGGTGCATCTGGCAGGACGCGTGTCCTTCGACAAACAGTTTTTTAATTATTTTGTTTTCCTTATGTCGGATGATTAATTATTTCACACAAAAATACGTGTAATCGGTATAGCACAACTGATATAGACGCGATATTTGACAAGTTTTAAACAATTTAATAAAATGACCAGCCAAAAGACAGTACCGAACGGTGTAAAGTTCCTTATTGGTGGGACATCTGGGTTTGTGTGTTTTTTAAAATGTTTATTTTGAACATGTGATATCTAGGAATAAATAGGCATGAGACACTCTTAGAAATATGCGTACATTGTTTAATAATTATAAGAGAATTTTGTAATCAGTAAACTGGAGTTCAGAGGTTGAGATAAAATTTTATCAAAATTACTTCTTACGAATTACATAACTGACATTGTCAGTAAATTAAAGACAGAAGAAAACAATTGAATTTAAATTTTTCATGATGATGCAATCTGTTTATACTTATGTATATATGTATCTTATTAGCATACTATAAATAGAGTTGCAACCCTGGATAAATTGATATAGTTGAAATTCCCTTATAATCAATAGCGCCATTAAAATCTTAATTTTTAATAATTTAAGAAAATTGTACAAAAAATAACATTTATATTATATATTAATCTTTACATATTATTTCAATTATTTTATAAACTAACTGATTTTATTTAATTCTTAGAAAATGTAGTTTAATCTTGTTTAAATTTATACAATAATAAAATCTTATCAAAATATATTCTGATTAGCTTTTACTAAATCTTATATATATTATAAAGTTTAATTGCTTATATGAGAGAAGTTATAAATTCATCACAATTGCATGCAATGTGCTAAAACAATATAATCTGTGATAGTTACACGAAAACATTAATTAGCTTGCTGAGTGCCAAAGCAGATTTATTGTATTAATTGTAAGAGAAATTTATTGTTAAGTTTGTTGGAAAATTAAAATGAGAGAGAGAGTGAGAAAGCTGTCTGATAAATTATCAGTTAAAGATTATCCGATAAATTTGGAGTTTATATTTTTATTTAAGAAATAAATTCAGTAAAGGATATATATATATATTTAATTGCAGTATGGCAGCAACATGTTTTGTACAACCATTGGATTTAATAAAAAATCGTATGCAATTAAGTGGCACAAAAACATCAACGTTAAGTGTTACATCATCAATTCTGAAAAATGAAGGTGTTTTAGCATTATACTCAGGTTTATCTGCTGGTTTAATGCGACAAGCCACTTATACCACTACTAGACTTGGTATATATACTTGGCTTATGGAAGTGTCATCGTAAGTTAACTTTGTATTTATAAGATTTTACAATTATATAAGAATTGAAGTAAATTTATATCAAGTATATTTGCCTTATTTTTAGAAAAGACGCACAACCAAGTTTCATTGTAAAAGCTGTACTTGGTATGGCGGCTGGATGTGTTGGAGCATTTGTAGGTACACCCGCTGAAGTAGCTTTAATCAGGATGACAGCAGACGGAAGATTACCTATTAGTAAATTTATATTTTTTTTCTATATAATAAGATTATTACTTTGTATATATTCTAGTTTAATATACATCTCAAATATATATTATAGAACTTAAACATTTATTATATTTTTTAATGCAGCCGATAGACGCAATTACAAAAATGTGTTCAATGCATTATTCCGTATAATTAGAGAGGAAGGTCTCTTTACGTTATGGCGTGGCGCCATTCCTACTATGGGAAGAGCTATGGTTGTAAATGCAGCACAATTGGCATCATACTCTCAGGCAAAACAAGCATTGCTAGATACAGGTTTGTAGATACATTCCATTGTTATTAGATCTTTTAAAATTGTATAAATATACTATAATGGTTACATTTGTTTTATATTGTATGTTTTTCTTTCAAAATAGGATATTTTGAGGAAAATATAGTATTACATTTTACGAGCTCTATGATTTCTGGTTTAGTCACCACTGCTGCGTCTATGCCTGTAGATATAGCTAAAACAAGGTATTATGCGATCAATTCATGACTTTGTTTAAAATTCAATTGACATTCTTAATATGTGATTCGTGTTTAACAATTTTTTTTTACAGAATCCAAAACATGAAAACAATAAATGGCAAACCAGAATTCACAGGCGCAATTGATGTTCTGACCAAAGTTATAAGGAACGAAGGATTGTTTGCATTATGGAAAGGGTTCTTCCCATATTATGCACGTCTAGGGCCTCACACAGTCTTAACATTCATTTTCCTTGAGCAAATGACTGCTGCTTATAAAACATATTTGGCATAATAATTGCAATTGTATGCGATTGCAAAAAGTTATCAATGATTTAAGATTTCAAAATCTTGTTTCCTTTTTTTAATTTGCTTTAATTTGCAATGTTTTTGTGTATTTTTAAAAGCATTATTTTAATAATAAATCTATTTTCTAGCATATGTTATAACATGTATTCTAGCATATGTGAAATATATTACGCACACAATTGCAATATCATTTTGTATAAATATATATATAGAATTGATAATTTGTTACATGTAATAAAGATTTTTATAGCAGCTTTTATAAAATTGATTGATACTAAAATTATTAATTTCTGAAAAATATAATATCCTCATTGATTAAAAAATGGTACAAATATAAATTAATTTCCATCTCAATGTAAGTATAGTTTATGCATTTTAAGTTTTCTGCCATAAAAAATTTATATATATGCAATGTATTAAGATATTTTGCTATTGTTTTGTAGAGAGAGAAAGATATATATTATATTCTGTGAATATGTACGAATACAAAGTTCGTCTGGTACGAACTTATAGTCTTGTATGGGCATGCCATTTGATTCAGCCATTTAGTTGTTATTTTAAATGTTATTTTACATAAAATTTGTTTTAATAGATCTATATTTTGGATATTCAAATTATATCTTATATGTATAATGAGAGCCGCTGTTGTTGCAGATGTAATTAAACAAGTGTATTTAAAGTAATGTGTGTTTAATTGTATTAAATATTAACACAAAATAATTATAAATATCAATAATATCGTACAATAACATTGTATCAATAATATTGTACTAAAATAACACAAATTTAGTAATAAAAATTATATTTTGAATATAAGAGTTTACTATAACGTTTTATTTCTAAGTAAAATAAAACAGACAAACTATTTTACCAATAAGACCTCGGGAATTAAAAATAAGACATTTAATATAACTATTAAAATATACAATTAATACAATTATTATTTATTAATAATTATTATAAATAACAATTATACATGTCTTACGTAATTATACAATTATTTATTTATAATTATTATAAATAACAATTATACATTTCTTACGTAATTATATGTTTCTTTATTAGAGCACGAGAATAACTATAAGTTTCCGGAAATTACCGCGTGATCAAAATTTATACAAATTCAAAATGAAATTTACGAGCTTTATTGTACTTTGAAATTAATTTATTTATTACATTGTATAAATTTTGGTAAAATCGATGATAATTATTGGTAAAACGGTAATATAATAGTGCAATAAAAGAGTGTCATAAAATCGACACTGAAGCTCAAGGACGTTTCAATCAAACTTAATTCACATGTACATATATAAATGCAGCAAATATATATGTGATGGTCAAATAGTAATTTTAAAAATGTCGGATATAATTTCTAATATCAATCCCCCGTCATATTGCAGCTGCTTGCAGTGTGCAAATAGATGACGAAAGCATGTATATACATACCTATACCAATTAACAAGTAGAGTAATATATACATGCGACACTTTTGGCGGCAAAGAATAATAGTCTCGCTTATCATGGCATACAAATATCTAGAAATGAAATTTATTTTATCGTGTAAATTATTACGAATTGACATTTAACGCAATATAATTGCGATGAATTAAACACTGTTAATACATCTG